AGAAGTTAGTGATAGGCTAGTTAGCTGTTAGTGGCCATGCGCCATAGCCATAGACAGTTAGTGAGTGTGTATGTGTGTGTGCAGTGGTTGGCGTGCATGGTATCCAGGGTGATCCGGAGTCGAGTTGCGTGTGAACTCTGAGTCGAACGTGTAAGTGTGGGCGCCCAGCGCCATAGCCAACTGAAGTGAACTTGGATTTGAGTNTCGTAGGGTTGTCACTATGCAGTCATGGGAAAGTCTAGAAAGTACCAGTCCGGTCCAGCAAGTACCACGGGGGGACTGTGTGCCTCATGGGCCAGGGATGCAAGGCAAACGAATGCAGCACAGAAGTATAAATCCAGAGGCTGCGTCCARCCRTTCATTCATTCCTGCGGAAGCTCTGCGGAAGCGCTGCTCGGGCGTCTTGTGCAAGGGAGGTCTGCAGATGGCCTGAAGACGAAGTGGGCAGAAGTTAGTGATAGGCTAGTTAGCTGTTAGTGGCCATGCGCCATAGCCATAGACAGTTAGTGAGTGTGTATGTGTGTGTGCAGTGGTTGGCGTGCATGGTATCCAGGGTGATCCGGAGTCGAGTTGCGTGTGAACTCTGAGTCGAACGTGTAAGTGTGGGCGCCCAGCGCCATAGCCAACTGAAGTGAACTTGGATTTGAGTGGAGTTGCAAGCTACCATATCTCCGAGTTTGAGTTGGGTGCACAGCGCCAAGTTATTCTCATCTGTTGCATGCATGTTTGAGTGTGAATTCGCAAGACTGATTTCAAAATAGTACAAATTTTGATAACATTTTTTATAAGAAAGTAGGTTTTCATAATTTTTACTATTTCAAATTTGAAGTTACGTTTTTCTTAGGTAAGACCTCTGTGAGTTCTTACTAATTCTTTGAATTAATAAAACATTTTGTATCATTTTTCTTAGGAAACAAAATTCTCCAAATATATATGAATTTAAATTTGAGACTAAATTTTTTCGACATAAGTACAAAACATATTTTTTTTATTCCCTTACTTGAAAACATTATATACCAATGGACCTCTTTTGACTCCAATACTTTGTGAGTCTTACTTTATAATATGAAGTAAAAAGATGCGAGATATATACATTGAGATACTATAACAACTAATGTCCAAACTTAGAATGAACATCCACAACGAGATAAAGTTAGATGATTATAAGGGTGGCGAAATTGACATATACAAATAATTAAGTCAGTTCAATTTAGGTCACTTTGAATGACTAAGGGAACTTACATCGCCGCACTGATGCTCAGTTTAGTTTCACATAAAGACTAACCCAGTTACATTCAATTCTTGTTTCAATTATATTTTTGACAAAATAAAGTCATATAACAATAAAGGTTACTGAATCGACTTCATATATATATCATTTCAGCCAATTTATTTCAGCGTTTAGTTCAATTATAATGAAACGGTGGGAAGCGCATCAATCCTTGCTCATATGCACAATTTGAAAACCCTCCCCACCTCACCACATACAATTTGTTATGCAAATGATTGGAGCTTTGTTGTTTCGACCGAGTGCATCAACTATACCTTTCACAATTAAGTGAGACACAACTTACCTCCCTTAAGGAATTATCAAAATCCCAAAGGATTGATCCACATGTGGTAGTTTTTATATGTCGTGGTAGAGATGGACTAATCGACAATGTTTCTCATTTCTTATAGTATTAGAGCGTACGTGCAACTAAATGTTTAAATTGGACTTGTACATGAACTTTCTTTTCACACAGTAATCTTTCAACACTTGCTTACGCCAATTGACTAAGATGATGACCTAACCATATGAAACAATATCTTACGGTCGATTGTGTATCCAAACCTGATGTCTTATACGTTTTTTTTGCATCATGTGTGCTCGTGATATGGGTCCTGCAGTTTCGCATAAATGTCAGTCACTCATTCGTATTATCATAATGTTCGAAAATGTTGAACCTTATAGTCGACTGTTATGGAAACATTCTATATGGTACCCATGATCATGAGGCCCTTCGCGGGTTTCAAGGTTGCACACAACAAGTGTCCACTGAAACGTATCCCATAAACATTCCTTGTACGATATACAATGGTTGAAGAACTTGTCATCCAGCCTCACGACAAATTGTCCTTTAAGCAACCCCCAATGGCTGACAGTAACCAAAAGTTTCTTGTTTGACAAATATCATGTAGACTCGATAAGGGTGTTGATTTTTTTGTCACAGACTCACAGGTCAAACCAACCAAATAAAAAGGAACGGAAAGGACAAGAAAAGCGAAGAACGTATGTTCGACTTGACCCCTGGTCAGTGGGTGATCCCCTCAACTGGATTATGTCAGTAGGCTAATCAAGCTGAGGAGCCGGGTTGAAGCCATACGCCCACGTGACTATGGGTTCTGCCTAATCTACTACTGTTGGCCTCTTGACGTATCTTTGTTCACTTATAGTGTTAGGTTCTCTGAACATGGTGTAAGTCCTTATCACTCTACTACCGTGCCCATAGTATCACTTTTCTCGTGTATGCAAACACCCAAGTATATTCCCATACACGCAATAACCCTTTAAGCCTTTACGGTTCGTGTCATTGGTGGTCACGTCTCACTCTCACAAGTGCAGTCTTCCAAGCAAACTTTCACATTTAAGCATCAATCAACGTTGTCACATTACCAACAAACACAGTCGGGCAGAGGCTATGACTAACAAAGTCAACCCCTTGACAATCTTTCGCCTCGTCCTTCACACCTGCAAACCCACACAAAAGTGGTGGTGGATAGTAGTCCTCTGATCTTGGACCATGCTTCCCAACCAATATGAACAAGGACTAATGAACTTGGGATTGCACGAAGAGCACTGGCACAAAGGGAAACAGACTCTGGAACACCTTTACAAAGAGTTTAGGAAATAAGCATACAACAGGATGGGAATAACAATGTGAAAGTCAGTTGGGACTGAGCCAGCATGAGTCTGGCAATGAACATTAATATGCAACAAGTAGGGACACGAGTGGTTGAGAACCAATTGTCCTAGTTTAGAAGCCCTGAACACAATGTCATTTGTTCCTCCAACAAGGATAACAGTAGGAGTGGACTCTATATGGCAGGCTTGGTGCCCCAAGTAGGCGCAATGGCACTTGGCATCATCAGTGCTAGAGACAAAGAAAGTGTTATTCTGGGTAGCCAACCTGTACGCGTGGCCAAAAACTTGCAATCTCCAGGTCAACTGACTCGGTTGTATAAGCCATAGAGGATTACTATTCAGGTTGCAAGTCAGAAAAGGAAAGAGAGGAAAATGTTAATAATACAAGGCCAATTGTCTGGTGTTCGGCAAGGGAGAAAGACCATTTCCAAGGCCGAAAAAGGCGCTTGGATCACTGACATGCAATTTGTCATGGGGAGCATTAGGAGGGAGTGGAAAACCATGTGGCCCCTGCACGTAAGACAAGGAAAACAAAAAAAAGTGAGTGCTACTGTAGTAAGTAGTAATAACCAGTAACTGTTGGAACACAGGCCTGGATTCGAATCCAAAGCATATATTACTGGCATGCTTGTGTTAAATTTGAGATTTGATGAACATCTCTGCTGAGGAAAGAGACCCTTGCTGATTTTTTGCTCGGGGTCATTTGGAAAAGAGACTGGATCCAACGAGGAGTACGATGTGGCCCCAAATGTTTTTCTTTTTCTGTGCACATGCAATTTTCAGAAGGCAGGGGGACATTTAGCTACCACAACCCGCTCTTTCGAATTTTTTTAATCAACCCTATTTTTTTGGGTGCAACGCATTACGTGCGCGCGCATGCATGTGTGTGCGCTATGCGCCGCACGTGCGCAACTCACACGCACGTGATGCGCAACAAGTATGCGTGAAACATGGAGAAAGCAAATAATATAGCATGTTGTGCATACCTACCCTGATTGTGTTGATGCTTTCGGGCTCAGGAAAACTGACTATGGACTTTTCCCGCAGTCAATGTGACCCTCTATCTACTTTCCTCCATATGGCTTGTTTTATCCATCCCAGGCGGCATCTTTAGGGAGGTCACCCTTTTTGAATTGTCTCTCTGGCTTGGTGGCCCTTACATTCCAACAGTCTGGCCTTCACAGTCCGACCACCGGTGCAACAGTCCACAAGCCATGTCTCTGTTGGCTCTCATCCCAACATCACTACATTGTTGTTCGTTCAAACATACAGTAAAACATCAACACTGTCACATTCATCCTCTTCACAGGATGCTTTGGCAACGCCTATCCTGCACATATTTGCAGTATTTGCACCTGTGTTTGCAGTTCAAAATTCACCAACCATAACACCCCCTATTAACCACGTGTGTCGCCATGCACCATAAAACACATACATATCACAAAAAAAAAGAAAAAAAAAAAGAAGAAGATATTGTTTTTTTTTAAAGCAAAAAAAAGGGCAAAATTATGACAATTTCAATGCAAAATTTGCCGACAATAACACCCCCTTTTAACCACGTCTGTTTTGCAGGCTCTCCTACATAGCAGAGTGTGCTTCGTATTGTCTGACAGTGACAACTTGAAGTACAACAAACCAACTGCCTCGTGCACGTAAGGGCCCCTTACCTGTCGCAAACTGTCGGGACATCACCTCGAGTTGTCTTGGTTGGTAATGCTACAACACCTATTACTGGATTAGAGACACCAGCTATGTGTTATTGCAACGAAGCAGCATCTGGGATGAAGCTAACATCTTTGACCGAGAATCGACTGGATGACAAGGCACAATTGTGAGAAGATCTTGTTGATTCAAGTGGCTGCAAAAGAACATATCAACTGAATGGGATTTGCGTGGAGGCAATTGCTGCAGAGACGCAAGTTATTTGCGATCTCAAAGAATCAGAGTCGAGGATGAAGCCATCATCTTTGGCTGAGACATGGCAGAGTTATCCGAATGTCCTTTTCACCTAAGTGGCAAGAGATCCAAGAGTACAAATCATACTTGCGGTGCACTGGTGCGGTGCGGTGCACCGTGTGGAATGCGCTCGGTGACACCGCACACGCATGTGCTAGCGTGCGCACTAGGTGTGTCATGCGCGCAGCGCATGGAGACACGCTATTGTGCAAGGGTGCGCACTGTGCACCATGGCTTTTTTTTCGTGTGTGTGTGTGTGTGTGTGTGTGTGTGTGTGTGTGTGTGTGTGTGTGTGAGAGAGAGAGAGAGAGAGAGAGAGAGAGAGAGAGAGAGNGAGAAGAAGGAGGCCAAAAAGAAGGCCTTGAAAGAGGAGCAGGCGGCCAAACTGAAGAAGATCGAAGAGGAGATGGCCAGGGAGAAGGAGAGGCTAATAAAAGAAGAGGAAGAGAAGTTGAAAAAGGTAGAAGAGGAAGAGGAAGACCCGCCACTGCAAAAGAATAGTGGACAGCATGGTGGCAGCCCTGGTGGAGACCTGGAGAAGAGGATATCAGAATGGGTTGCCAATTTGACTGTGGGAGAAGAGGAGGAAGTTAACATGTACATCCCACAAGATGAGCAAGAGGCAGCCATGAGGGCTTGGAATGCAGAGAAAGACCCTCTTAAACGACGGGCATTGGAGGATGAGAAACGGATGGAGTGGAAGTTGGCAGTGATGAGAGAGAAAAAGAGGAGGATGGAGAAAGCAGTAGAGGCGGCAGAAGTTTTGGAGGAAGTGAAAACGATAGAACAACAATTAGCCGCCCAGCCCGATTTCTCAAATCAGATGCGAATCGTGGCTCGAAGCATTACATGCCTAGCACGAGTTCAGACAGATCAATATGATTTTAGCAGAAGCCAGGATATCGCCGTGCGTTCGATGAAAATGGGCTTTCGAGACTTTGCTCGTGAGCTGGTAGGCGCCGTTGGAGTTGAGGTGGGTCATCGCCTCGACAAGACTGAACGATTCTGCACCGGCGCTATTGAAGGCGTCAAGGCGGCAGCTCCCAAGGAGGAGGAAGCACGTCCTCCTCGTCGGGAGCCAGTCAAAGTCAAGTTCCCCGATTCCTACAGCGGAAGGAGGGAAGAAAACTTTGACAATTGGGAGGCCAACGTCAAGACGTATGTGCATTTGCAACAGGTCTCCGTGGATCAGCAGGTCCTGATTGCGATCCACGCGCTTAAAGATGAGGCCGCCAGTTTTGCAAGGTCCTTGGTTCGTGCCGCTAACTGTAGCGACGATCCCGTTGCCTACTCCTCGTTTACCTCCCTCACCGAATTCCTGAAGTTGCTGCGCGAGCGATTTGCTGATGTCGCTCGCGGTGTCAGGGCCTCAGATAAACTGCAAACCATCCATACTCGCAAATGGAAAAGCGCCAGGGCGCTCAAGGGTACAATGGACGAGTTAGTGGCCGTCCCTGATCACAAAGTCACAGAGACCCAATTAGTTAACCTCTTCTATCGAGCTATGCCCGAAGCTTTGCGAGGGCACTTCTTCGCGAGGAGCGAAGACCCTACCACGACATATGATTCTCTGAGTCGTGAAGTAGTGGCTTTTGAAGCCAAGTGTGCCGGACCCGCCGGGATGGCGGTCCGTTAGGATGGAGACGAAGGAGGAGGTAGAGATGGAGCTGGAGGGGACAGCGCAGCTCCGACGCAGACTCCATACGCAAGTACTCCAAGATCTGCGAAAGTGAAGAGTGCCGAAAAACAGACTGCAGCTGGGGTATACCCCCAGCGGACTGACTGGACTGGACTGGACTGGCCTGGTACCGACCGTGGTACCGGGCGGCACTGGACTGGACTGAAACAATATACGGCCTGTGGGGTCAGGCCACGGCCTGGTCCCACAGGCCGAACTGGCAAATAGCCAAATAGGCCCTGGCTGTAGGCCAGGGCAGATGAAGGCCCGCTGCACGATCCTCAGACCTGTAATGGATCGCAAGAGCCATAAACACGCTATCCGCAACAGCAGCGAAACTCTGCAATAAAGAAGGCTGATAAATCTAGGATGCGGAGCAAGCTCCATGCGGAGTCCATGTGATGCATCCTAAGCTGCATAATGTCAAAAAAAAAACAAATGTCTGGTATACATGTCCTAACTAACAGCAGAAAATGAAATGTAGCATGATACAATCCTAAAGTCCTGGAGGCAATGGCCTCAGTGCTGAACGGAAAAGAGCAATATGTCACAAGGTAAGGTCATGTCGCTGAACCACTAAACGTGGGATGGTCTCAGAGGGGGTGAATGCAGCCTAAGAATCGAAACTCCTAAGGGCAGTCAC